CCGGTCATTCGGTTGCTTAGGCTTTTATATAGAGAGATAGATTTGTTAGCTTAATTTATAACATTAAAATATTTAGTATGTGAATATTGTAGTTTTTCCATAGCAATAGGGGCAGATTTGAGGATTTTCCCCTCTTACTCTCTCCCCATACTTATACCTCATTCCCATCTCCCTCCTGCCAAATTTAACTTGATAATTTTTCCGAGTTCAATTTTTAGTTCTTACAAAACTGTGACTATATATTCCATTCAGGATTGAGCCATGTAGAAAACTGGTTATTCTTCCTTTCCTGCACATCTCCCCCCCCCCCCCCCGGAATGAATAATTATCTTGTCTTACTTAGTTGTCTATGTATTTATCACAAAATCTGCCTTAGAATCTTCTCCAAACTGTCTAAATATTTCCTCAGAATATCTAGATACAGCACATATTCTATCAATTTCACCTTCTAGAAGACATCTCTGCTGGAGCCTCTGACTTGCTCCACTCTGAGGGTTTGTCCTCTATCCTTGCTGAACATCTAGCAACCTAGCATTTCCTCTCTCATCTTCCTGGCTATTTTCTCTGCCTCTCTCCTTTGTTGGATCTTTCATTTTCCATATTCAATGTCTTTCTCTTTCTTGATTTATTTCCTCTTTTGAGAAGAGACTATCTTCCAGAAGCTTCCTGAGACAGGGGATTATGTATTGTTTGGAAACTTTGCATGTTTGACACAACCATTGTTCTACTCAGACACTAGATTGATTGTTTAGCTAGGAATTGACTTTCTTGGGAATTGTGAAGGCATTGGGGCATTACCTTCTAGTTTTCATCATTGCTCTTGAGATGAAGCCTTTTAATCCTTATCCTTTGTAAGTGACTTTCTCGCCCTCTCTGAACATCTTGTCTCCAGTGTTCTGAAATGGCAAGGATATGTTTTGGTGAGAAGCTGTTTGTTGTGCTGGACACTCAGGGCCCCTCACTTCTGGGAAATAATCTTGAACCATCCCATTGGTGATTTCGTCCCTTCCATTTCTCTGTTGTTTCTTTTTTCTTTTTCCAAATATATATTTATTCATTTTTATTTCAATTGATTTCAGAGAGAGGAAGAGAAAGGAAATGAAAGATAGAAACATCAATGATGAGAGAGAATCACTGACCAATTGCCTCTTGCACACCCCCTACTGGGGATGGAGCCTGCAACACGGGCATGTGCCTTTGACCAGAATCAAAGCCAGGATCTTTCAGTCCTCAGGCCAACACTCTATCCACTGAGCCACACTGGCTAGGGCTGTTGTTTCCTTTTGGAAATGCCTATAATTCAGGTGGTTCTGTTGGACTTGTTCTTCTAGTTTTTTTATTTTTCCCTCTTTTTACTTTATTTTCTTGGATATTTTCTCAATTTTTTTCTTCCCATCTTCTCAGTTTTATCTATTGAGAAATATTCTGAGTCTCACTACTTTAAAGATGTTCACTATTCTCACCTGTTTTTTTATTCTCTAGATATTCATTTATAGCATCTCATTTGTTTCAGAGTTGCAATAGCGTATCTTATCTCTCTGAAGCTATTATAATTTTATTTAAGTTTTCTTTCTGCATAATCTCTGTTTTGTATAAACTTCTTTTTCTGTTGTTTTGGTCTTTTTCATGTTAGAATCCTTTCTTGAAGGTTTTATAATCCTTCTGTTCACAGGGAAGGGTGGGTTACCAAAAAGCCTATTGGAAGCGTTTGTGCTCTGCGGGTTCCGGTAGATGATGGTACGTTTTGGCCTCAGCTTCGCTGCAGGGAACCTCTGTTGTCAGCATCTTTAGGACTTCCTTCTTCGGGTGGTTAGCCATCCGGCACAATCAATTCTGTTTTGCCATATGGTTACCCCACTACTGCCTTAGCATCCATCTTTCTCTAGTCTAAGTCAGTAACCACTCATCCACATGCTATCCAGCTTCTTAAAGTATTTGGCTCTTATCTCCTCTTCTGTTTCACTGTCCTTAAAAAATTCCTTTGCTCTAGTTTTAGTGTATTATTAGTGGATCAAAATTAGATACATGTGTTCAATCTATCATTTTTACCCAGGAATTTTAAATATAGTTTACCTTTTTAAAAAAAGATTTTTAAAACTCTATCTAATTATGTTTCTAGATAGAGTTTTAGTCTTACAGAAGCCAGGAATTGAACCATGATCTCCTGGTTCAGGATCCATGTGCCACCACTGAGCAACACCAGCCGGGCAACATTGAATGATTTTATAACACAGAGATATCATGAAGTTGATCTTACATAAATGAATTCTAATAATATATTGCTTTTACCTCTTTTAGATAAAAATGTTCTACAAATGGTTTTTCTTGGAAACGGGGTTGGCTGTGTTTCTTATTGTTTTGGCTGTGTTTTTATTTTTGTTTTGGCTGAGTTGTTTTCTTAATTTTTTTTAATGTTTTATTGATTTTTTTACAGAGGAAGGGAGAAGAATAGAGAGTTAGAAACATTGATCAGCTGCCAAAACCGGTTTGACTCAGTGGTAGAGCGTCGGTCTGCGGACTGAAAGGTCCCAGGTTCGATTCCCATCAAGGGAATATACCTTTGCTGCGGGCATATCCGCGGTAGGGGGTGTGCAAGAGGCAGCTGATCGATGACTCTCTCATCGATGTTTCTAACTCTCTATCTCTCTCCCTTCCTCTCTGTATAAAATCAATAAAATATATTAAAAAAAAAAAAAAAAGAATGTCAGGGTAACTTGTAACTTCCCTTTTTTCAGACTCCTCAGGGCACAACAAATTCCCTCATTGTTATTGTTACTTTGTTTTTGTTCACTGTTAACTATCTGTTACCCACTATGTAAAAGAAGGGTCTATCATTTTACTTTTTATCCAATCCCAGAGTTTCCCCCCTTTCTCCCACCTCCCTAATCTATCACCAATGGATTTCGTGTAACCCACTTATGTCTCCTCCTTTGATTGTAATGTATAAAACAAGATGAAAAACTGCCATTCACCAAAGCATTAATTATCCCAATAAGTTGAGATTCTGCTTCCAGGCACTTGTTGACAGTTTGGCTCAAATAAACTCACAAATATTCTTTATAAGTTTGAATGTTTCTTATGTTAATATATGTATTAGTAGTTCATTCCTTTTTAATGTAAAGTAGTATATTTCGTGGACATACTAGAATTTGTTTATCCATTCAAACAAATTGTAGCATGTCAAACTTGCGGCCCACAACAAATTTTTTTTGGTATGTAAGAAACAGTCCAATAAAAAATTTTGTAACTTAATTTTTACATTAACCTGTTACACATAATTATTAATAACGAACTACAATGTTCGATAATAACTGATTACTATAATCGTGTTGCATTTATTTCCCTTACTCTAAGGCGCACCATTTCTCTCCGCCAATGCCAGCAGCAAATATTTTAGCAGCCTATTGCCATGCCATTAGTCTTGGACTGACTTGTTTGGTGTGCACAACCGGAAATATTTCGCTTTTGGAGAACAAGAAAAATATGTTTATTTGTTTTAAGCTTATTAATTTGTGCAGTTATTCAGTGTCTGGTAGGTTATGTTCAAGAAAGAATATTAATTTTTATTTAAAAATGTTCTATTGCCGAGACCGGTTTGGCTCAATGGATAGAGCGTCGGCTTGGGGACTGAAGGACCTGGGTTCGATTCCGGTCAAGGGCATGTACCTTGGTTGCGGGCATATCCCCAGTGGGGGGTGTGCAAGAGGCGGCTGATCGATGACTCTCTCTCATTGATGTTTCTAACTCTCTATCTCTTTCCCTTCCTCTGTACAAAATCAATAAAAATATATTTAAAAATAAATAAATAAATAAAAATAAAAAAAATAAAAATAAAAATGTTCTATTATTTTATGTTAATGATTACTCATTTATTTCAGCCCTTTATGTTCAGCATGTCTCTATTGAAATAAATCTACATTTCTATGAAAATTGAAGCTTTTGGGTTTTTTTTTGCAGCCCATAGAAACTTAAACCTTGTTTATTTGGCCCAGGTTAGCCTTTGAGTTTGACATGATTGACTTAAGTTGTTTGCTGGCTTGTGCTATAATAAAGCTGCTTATGAATGTTTCTGGATAGGTCTTTGTGTGGATATATGTTTTCATTACTTAGGAGTGGGATTACTGGGTTATATAGAAATGTATATTTAACATCATGCTGAGTGAAATAAGCCAATCAATGAAAGAGAAACACCACATGACCTCACTAATTTGTGGACAATTAAAAACATTATAAACTGATGAACCAAAAGATAGATATAGAGACAGTAAAACAACAAGCAGATTACAGTCAAATTACAGTGGGGAGGGGAGGAGGATCTGGGGGAGATAACAGATCAACCCAAGGACTTGTATACATGCATATAAGTACAACCAATGGACATAAAACTCTGGGGAGGGAGGGGATATGTGGGAAGGAGGGGGGCAAAAAAAATCAAAAAAATATGTAAAAATAAAATAAAATAAATAAAATTAAAAAAATAAATAAAATAAATGTTTCATAATGAAAAAAAAAAGATTTTTTTTTTTTTAAAGCAACAGATGGCCTGGCCAGCGTGGCTCAGTAGTTGAGCATCAATATATGAACCAGGAGGTCATGGTTCGATTCCTGGTCAGGGCATATGCCCGGTTGCAGGCTTTATCCCCAGTGTGGGGCATGTAGCCAAACAATGATTCTCTCTCATCATTGATGTTTCTATCTCTCACTCTCCTTTCCTCTCTGAAATCAATAAAAATATATAAAATAATAGGTGAAGTAATATATATATTAGATAAAACTGGAAGACAGATGTCAGGGAGTCATTCTTCCAATCAAACTGATGATGTCACTGGAGAAAAGAAGGTCAGTTGGAACCTGATGTCTGGCAGTTACCAGAAGCTGTTGCTAGGCATAGGCACTCAGGAGCTGCCCCAGAGCCCTTAACTCTAAAGCAGCCAACATCACGTGTCCAAGCTCGGATACTGGAGACGCAGGACATCTTTGTTACTGACGAAGTGGTCCAAATGGAGATGGACAAGCCCCCACAGTTGGTGACTCCAGCATCAGTGAAAGCCATCATCTCGAGAATTGAGGCCGCCCAGCTAACTCGGGCTCAGGAGGTAACTGCGGAGATGAGGGAGTAATCCTTCTATTGTGGTCTGATGTGGCAGTTGCGGACTGATCTCAGATTTGACAAGATTCCAGGTCTATCCCCTCTATCCCTCTCCCTTCCTCTCTCTGTAAAAAATCAATAAAATATTGGGCCCTCGGAAATCCTGGGATCTTTGACAAGCTGGCTTTGCAGACAGATAAATGCCAAATATTCGCCTTCTAGACTTGGCCTCTGCAGGGCAGCCTGAGTCAAACCATCCCCTTGAGGCAGGGCAGGGCCCAGGAAGAGAGTAGCCCATGGAAACCCCAGGATAGATCCTAACAAGAGGGTGGGCCCAGGGTTCATAATTGGGTCTGTTCTTGACAACCTGTCAGAATCCCCCAAGCTGTCCTGGAGGCTCATAGTCAAATGGCCATAGGCTAGAATCACCAGTCTCATGAGCCTCTAGTGCATTTTTTCTGGGAGCCTCTGGTCCTGAGTTTCTTGGGACCTAACCTCTCCACCCTGTTACCTCTGGGTTTTGTGAGGAGAGATGCCCAGGCATCCCCAGCAAATTCTGAAATTCAGAAGAAATTTTTGCTGTGGATTTTTAGTATTCTCTCCCTGACCTGGTCTTAATAATTAAAATCACAGTAGTAAGAGCTACTTATTATTGTTTTTTAAATACCACAAAACTTGATTTCCAAATCTCCCAATTTTTAAAAAAATATATTTTATTGATTTTTTACAGAGAGGAAGGGAGAGGGATAGAGAGATAGAAACACTGATGAGAGAGAAACATCGATCACCTGCCTCCTACACACCCCTCACCGGGGATGTGCCTGCAACCTAGGTACATGCCCTTGACTGGAATCGAACCCAGTCCGCAGACTGATGCTTTATCCACTGAGCCAAACCAGTTTCGGCAAGAGCTACTTATTTTTTTTAAAATATATGTTTATTGATTTCAGAGAAGGGAGGAAGGGAGGGAAGGAGGAAGGGAAGGAGAGAGAGAGGGAGAGAGGGAGAAGGAGAGGGAGGGAGGGAGGAAGGAAAGGAGGGAGGGAGGGAGGGAGGGAGGGAGGGAGAGAGAGAGAGAGAGAGAGAGAGAGAGAGAGAGAGAGAGAGAGAGAGAGAAACACCAATGATGAGAGAGAATCATTGATTGGCTGCCTCCTGCATGCCCCTCACTGGGGATTGAGCCCACAACCTGAGCATGTGCCCTATCCACTGAGCCAAATCAGCGAGAGCAAGAGTTACTTATTTTATGTGCCGGACACTGTCCTAAGGGCTTTACAAATTCATTTAATATTTACAAAAACCCTGTGACATAGGTACTATAATAATCTCCACTTTACAAAAAAACAAAACACACACACACACACACACACACACACACACACACACACACACACACACAGTCTCCAAGAGGTTAAATGACTTGCCTAAGAGCACAATGCTAGAACACGGCATCTGGCCCCAGAGTTCACAACTCTGAACACTATAACCTTCTGTCTTCCATATAGGATATTTCTTCCCAGCTCACTGACATCCTGGACAATGTCAATTGTGTCATCAACCGCTTCCAGGAAGAATTGGGATATGACTTAAAAGAAAAAGCAAAATCTCACCAGATGGAGCAAAAGGGCAAAACGAGATTCACCTTGCTGGAGAAAATTGCCTCCTTCTCCAAAGATGCTAAGACTAAAGAGAAGCACTTATACGAAATTCTCCACTGGCTGGGTGACTGGGGTGAGTTTGCAGGCTAGTGCCTTCCAGCTGGCTTGGTCTTTTTCCTTTGCCACCGTCGGTCCACATTCCCTGGGAGGGGAGAGCGGGGTGGCGGTACAGAGGGAGCCAAAGATGTATCCTGGTGCCTTTCCAGTGAAACATTCTCCCTCTCATGTCACAACACATCCCTTCATTCCTCAAAGTGGCAAACATGTAATTGCCAAAAATGTAACATCAGCTGCCATATGTGATGAAGCCTAAGTAACAGGTCCATTATGTTATCTCACTTTTTAGCAAGATGGAAACTAAATTCTTACTCATCATAACTTTTATTTAAAATTTTTCCATCTTTATTGAGATTTAATTGACAAGTAACATTGTGTAAATTTAAAGTGTACAGTGATATGTGTCTATATTGTGAAATGACAATAAAGTTACCTAACACATTCATCATCTCACATAGTTAGAGATTTAAGAATTTAAGATCTACTTTATTTTTAAAAAATACATCTTTATTTCAGTGCAGAAGGGAGAGGGAGAAAGATAGAAACATCAATGATGAGAGAACCATTGACCAGCTGCCTCCTGCATGTCCCCCCACCTTGTCCCCTGGAGATTGTGCCCACAAACAGGCACATGCCCTGACTGGAAATTGAACTGTGACATCCTAGTTCATAGGTCAATACTCAACCATTGCGCTACATCAGCTGGGCTAAGATCTACCTTCTTGGCAAATTTCAATTATACAATACAGTATTGTTTACTATAGTCACTACACTGTATATTAGATCAGCAGAACTCATTGATCTTATGATTGAAAGTTTGTACCCCTTTGACTAACTTCTTCCCATTTATACCAACTTCTCAGTCCCTGGTAACCACCAATTTACTATATTTCTATGAGTTCAACTTTTTAGATTCCACACGTAAGTGAGATCATACAGCATTGCCTTTCTTTGACTGACTTATTTTACTTAGCCTAATACCCTCAAGGTCCATCCATGTTGTTGCAAATGGTAGGATTCCCTTATCCTATACTAGAGGCCTGACACACAAAATGTGTATATGGGTACAGTCCCTAGGCCTGGCCTGTGATCAGAGCCATCTTCCCCGGCTGCCTTCAGCCAGCCCTGTCCCCCGCCACCTCCCACCCCTGGTTCCCCATTGGCCATCAGAGCCTGCTGGCCGGGGTGGGGGAGGAACCAAGAGATGATCAGTGCACTTCATAGTGACTGGTTGAATGGTCATTTTGGTCATTCTGCTGTTAGGGTCAATATCACCCTTTTATTATATAGGATAATAAAACCCAAATATGCAAATTGACCAAACTGCAGAATGACCAGTCACTATGACACACACTGCTCAACATAAGACCTGCCCCCTGGTGGTCAGTGCACTCCCAGAGGGGGAGCACCACTCAGCCAGAAGCTGGGCTCCTGGCTAGTGATTGCAGTGGTGGTGGCAGGAACCTCTCCCACTTGCGCTGCAGGCGAGCAGTGAGGAGCAAGGAGTCCCGGACTGGGAGAACCCTGGGAGAGGAATGTCTGACTGCCGGTTTAGGCAGATGGACATCCCCTGCGGTGTCCCAGACTGCAAGAGGGTACAGGCTGGGCTGAGGGACTCTCCCGAGTGCACTAATTTCATGCACCAGGCCTCTAGTGACTGAATAATATTACATTGTATATACCACATTGAAATTGTTTTTTTCCAATTACAGCTGACATTCAATATTATATTAGTTTCAGCTGTATAGCAAAGTGGTTAGACATTCACATAGCTCACAAAGTGATTCCCCTGCCCAGCCAGTGTGGCTTGAGCATTGACCTATGAACCAAGATGTCATGGTTCAATTCCCGGTCAGGGCACATGTCTGGGTTCAGGCTTGATCCCCAATAGGGATGTGCAGGAGGCACCCGTTCAATGATTCTCTCTCATTATTGATGTTTTCTATCTCTCTCTCTCCTCTCCCTTCTCTGAAATCAATTAAAAATATTTATTTTTAAAGTTTTAAAATGATTCTTCTAAGTCTAGCACCCACATGACACTATACATAGTTACAATATTCTTGACTCTATTCCTGATGCTGTACTTTACATCCCCATGACTATTTTGTAACTTACAATTTGTACCTCTTAATCCCTTCACCTTTTGTGCCCGTCCCTCTAACCCCTCTTGCATCTGACAATCATCAGTTTGTACTCTGTACCTATGAATTTCTGTCTTATTTTGTTATTTTTAGATTGCACATATAAGTGAAATCATATGGTATTTGTCTTATTTCACTTACTAGTAGCATAACACCCTCTAGTTCCATCCATATAGCTGCAAATGGTAAGATTTTATTCTTTTTTATGTTTGAGTAATATTCCATTATACCACATTTTCTCTACCCATTCATTCATTGATTGACACTTAGGTTTTTTCCATGTCTTGGATCTTGTAAATAATGCTTCAGTGAACATGGACATACAGATATCCCTTGGAGATAGTGATTTTATTTTCTATTTTATTTAATTTTAATTTTTTAAATATATTTCTATTGATTTCAGAGAGGAAGGGAGAGGGAGAGAGATAGAAACATCAATGATGAGAGCAAATCATTGATTAGTTGCCTCCTGCACACCCCATACTGGGGATTGAGCCCACAAACTCGGGCATGTGCCCTTGACTGGAATTGAATCTGGGATCTTTCAGTCCACAGGCCAACACTTTATTGAACCAAGCCAGCGAGGGCAGTGATTTTATTTTTTTTAGATATATATCTAGAAGTGGAATTCCTGGATCATATGGTAATTCTGTTTTTACTTTCTTTGAGGAAACTAGACTGTTTTCCAAAATAGTTGTGCCAATTTACATTCTCACCAACAATGCATAAAGGTTCCCTTTCCTCCACATCCTCACCAACACTTACTTCTTTTTTTTCTCTTCATAATAGCCATTCTTATAGGTATGCGATAATTCACTGTGGTTTTGATTTGCATTTCTCTGATTAGTAATATTGAACATTTTTTCATGTACTTTTGGCCATTTGCATGTCTTCTTTTTTGTTGTTGTTTGTAGGTCTTTAGAAAAGTGTCTAGTCAGATCCTTTGCCCATTTTTAAAAACATATTTTTATTTATTTATTTATTTATTTTTAAATATATTTTATTGATTTTTTACAGAGAGGAGAGGAGAGGGATAGAGAGCTAGAAACATTGATGAGAGAGAAATATCGACCAGCTGCCTCCTGCACACCCCCCACTGGAGATGTACCCGCAACCAAGGTACATACCCTTGACCGGAATCAAACCTGGGATCTTTCAGTCTGCAGGCCGACGTTCTATCCATTGAGCCAAAACAGTCCTGGCATATTTTTACTTATTTATTTAATTTATATATTTTTATTGATTTCAGAGAGAATGGAGAGGGAGAGAGAAATAGAAACATCAACAATGAGAAAGAATCATGGTTCAGCTGCCTGAAGCCCAAAACCTAGGCATGTGCCTTTGATTGGAATTGAACCTGGGACCCTTCAGTCCACAGGCCAATGCTCTATCCACCTAGCCAAAACAGCTAGGACATTTTTATTGATTTCAGAGAGGAAGGGAAAGGGAGAGACAGAAACATGAATGATGAGAAAAAAATCACTGATCAGCTGCCTCCTGCACATCCTAAACTGGGGATTGAGCTGGCAACCGGACATGTGCCCTTCCCGGGAATTAAACCATGACCTCCTGGTTCATAGGTCAATGGTCAACCATGAAGCCATGCCAGCCGGGCTCCTTTGCCCATTTATAAATTGGATTACTTTTTTTTGTTATTGAGTTGTATGAATTCCTTATATATTTGGTGTATTAATCTCATATCAAATATGGTTTGCAAGTATTTTCTTCCATCCTGTAGGTTGCCTTTTCATTTTGTTGATCATTTATTTTACTGCAGAAACTTTTTAGTTTGATGTAGTCCTACTTGTTTATTTTTGTTTGTTACCTTTGCTTATAGTATCATATTCAATATATCATTGCCAATACCAATATCAAGAAGCTTGTTTTCCTCTATGGTTTCCTTTATGGTTTCAGGTTTTACATTTAAGTCTTTAATCCATTTCAAGTTAATTTTTGTGAGTGGTATGATAGGAGTCCATTTTCATTCTTTTGTATGTGAATGTCTAGGTTTACCAATACCACTTATTGAAGAGACTGTCCTCTACCAGTGTGTATTCTTGGCTCCCTTGTCAAATGTCAGTTGATCATATATGCATAGGTTTATTTATGGGCTCTTAGTTCTTATTCCATTGGTCTGTGTGTCTGTCTTTATGCCAATATCATTCTGTTTTGATTACTATAATTTTGTAATGTAGTTTGGAATCAGGTAGTGTGATGTTTTGTTTTTCTTTTTAAAAAATATTTTTATTGATTTTTAGAGAGAGAGGAAGGGAGAGGGAGAGAGAAACATCAATGTGAGAGCGTAACATCGATCAGCTGCCTCCTGTATGCCCCTCACTGGGGAGCAAGCCCACAACCCAGACATGTGTCCTGACAGGGAATCAAACTAGCAACCCTCCGGTGCATGGGACAACATCCAATCAACTGAGCCACCCTAGCCAGGGCTGATGTTTTGTGTTTCTTTCTCAGGATATCTTTGGCTACTTGGGGGCTTTTGTGGTTCTATATAAATTTTAGAATTGTTTTTTCTACTTCTACAAAAAATGCCATTCATATTGCATTGAATCTTTAGATGATTTGGAGTAGTGTGGACATTTTAATAATATTAATTTTTCCAGTTCATGAACATGGGGTATCTTTCCATTTATATATGTCTTCTTCAATTTCTTTCATCAGTGTCTTATAGTTTTCAGTATAGAGATCCTTCATCTCCTTGGTTAAATTTATTCCTAAGTATTTTTTTTTTATGCTACTGTAAGTGGGATTGTTTTCTTTTTTCAGATAGTTCATTGTTAGTATGTAGAAATGCAACTGATCTTTGTTGATTGTATATTTTTCAACTGTATTGAAAATGTTTTTGAGATTTAAATAAAATAAGATTTATTTTTTAGAGCAGTTTAAGTTCATAGCAAAATTGAAGGGAAGGTACAGAGATTTCCAAAATACCTTTTGTTCTTCCTCAATCCCTATTTTTATTTTATTTTATTTTTTTAAAATATATTTTATTGATTTTGTACAGAGAGGAAGGGAGAGAGATAGAGAGTTAGAAACATCGATGAGAGAGAGTCATCGATCAGCTGCCTCTTGCACACCCCCTACTGGGGATATGCCCGCAACCAAGGTACATGCCTTGACCGGAATCGAACCCGGGACCCTTCAGTCCCCAAGCCGACGCTCTATCCATTGAGCCAAACCAGTCCCGGCATCAATCCCTATTTTTAACATTCCTCATCAGAGAGTACATTTTTTACAGTAGATGAAGCTACACTGATACATCATTATCAACTAAAGTCCGTATTTCATTATGGTTTACTCTTGGTGTCCTTTTTTTTTTTTTTTTTTTTTTTTTGTTTGGACAAAAAAATGACTTGTATCCACCATTAGAGTATCATATAGAAAAGTTTTATTTCCTAAAAATTCTCTGTGCTCCTCCTATTTATTAAGACTATTTTTAAAAATATGTTTTTATTGATTTCAGAGGGGGAGAGAGAGAAACATCAATGAGGAAAGAGAATCATCGATCAGCTGCCTCCTGCATGCCCCGCACTGGGATCGAGCCCACAACCAGGCATGTGTTCTTCTGCCGCCCTAAGAACTAAACAGGGTTGACTCAGTTAATTCAGTTAATCGTCCCGATCCTGGACTAGGCAATATGGGGACAGAGCAATAACAAGGCAGACACATCCCTGGCCTTATGGTACAACAATGCTGTTTAATGCCTATTACATATTTTCTACATGACAGACCTCACATGGATCATTTCACATGTATTGTCTTATTTAATCTCCACCCAGTCTTTTTACAGGCAAGAATACTGAGGCTCATGGGACTAAGCGATATGCCAAACACCACATAGCTAGTAAAAGCTGAAACCAATTTCACCTCAAAGTTGCTGTTGTCACCCCTGTGCAATAGGGCTGCTTGGGACTCCCTAGAAGACAGATTATGGTTAGCCCAAATATTCCACTTCCTCTCCAGGTGACAGTCTGACCTATGAGATCAACAACAGGCACAGTGAGAAGGAAGAGGAAGGCCTGGACGAATGGATTGAGGTGATGGAAAAATTGTTACCTCTCTCCCTCATCAGCACCAAAGGAGGCATCGAGTCTCTCATTTCCCTTTGCTCCACTCTCATTGAAGGACAAAAGAAAAGGGCACAAAGTAGGTTCCAAGAGTACCTGGGAGGGGGGCTGATTGGGATGGATGCCATCTCAGGAGAGAAGTCACATACCAGGACCCAAGGGTGTGTGTGTGTTTTATTATTATTTTTTTTTCATATAAACAAAAGCTTTATCTGAGATAGATGGGCAGTGGTGAGAGGTTTGATATGAAACCCAAGCTGAAAACTAAGCAGCTCTGAGTTCAGGACTGGAGGAAGGAGCGATGAGATGGCACCTATTGGTGCTCCTTGGAGCTGTGGCCTCATGCAAGTTCTTAGGAACAAGGCTAGAAGGCCAGAAAGGCTGGAGTTTGTAGCTAGAGCCTGAGGTACATCCTTTTCTTACTCCAAACCCAGCCACCAAGACAAAAGCCTGGTGTTAGACTCAGCCAGAGGTTCAAGAACCTTCTCAACGGTAGCTGTTCAACGGTAGAAGTGATCAGTCAACAACAGGGTTCAACCTTGAAATTTTACTCCTACCAGCACTAGAAGGGGCCTTAGCCTATCAAACTCCTACATTTTGTAGATGAGCACAGTAAAGCTCAAAGAAGAGAAAGGACCACAGAGAAAGCTTGTGGCAAAACCTGGCCACACACTTTGGTTTTCTGGTTTCTCAATCTTACTCAAAAGTATAAGCTTCACAGTCAGATAGGCCTGATGTTGAATCCTATGTGCCAATTTCTGGCTGTGTGACTTTGGGCAAGTTACTTCATCTTTCTGAACCTCACTTTCCTCATATACAAAACGAGGACACTGTCCACTCACGGGGTTCCTCTTAGTACAGACATCTCGCGCTACACTTAGATGTGCCCAGAGCTTAATAAACAATAGCTAACATTATCATTTACCATAGCCTCTCAAGGCCAGGTTCCTTATCAAGCAAGGTCCATGGTTGGGGGAGGAAGGAAGCAGGGAAAGGTAGATGAGGAGATAATCTCTCCTACCATCTTTACCATATTATTTCTCCAAATATAGTTATTTTATACTATACCTACTTATTTTCTTGCCAGATTATAAACCTTTAGAGGGCAAAGACTGTGTCTTACCATATTTTCCTGCATATAAGACGACCCCTAATTTTTTTTTTTTTTTTTTTTTTTTTTTTACAGTTAAAACATAGGTTTAGGCCTATATTCGCTGTATAAGACTACCCCCCACTTCCGAGGCAACACCAGTTCTTTTTTTAATAGACCGCCTCTCTAACTCAGCCAATCCAAGCAGGCTTTTTATGCATGCAAATTATACATGTTCTGTACCCGAAGCTACACTGTGTTCTAGTAAAAAGACTGCTCAGATTGGCCAGAGTCAGAGAGGCGGTCTATTAAAAAAAGAACTGGTGTTGCCTCGGAAGTGGGGGGTAGTCTTATACAGCGAATATAGGCCTAAACTTATGTTTTAACTGTAAAATTAGGGGGGTCGTCTTATACGCCGGAAAATACGGTATTCAGTTCTTATCAGGGATTAGTTATTGAGTACTTACTAGGTACCTGGTACTATGCTTGGCCCTAACCAAGCTTTAAGTTAAATACTATGAATTACATGTTATGATTATCCCCATTTTTCAGAAATAGAGGCACTGAGAAGTTAGGAAACTTACATAAAGCAAGTGATAAGGAGGAGATTCAAGACCAAATTATCTGATTCCAGAATCCAAGCTCTGAACCATTAGGCCTTATGGCCTCTCTGACAGTATTAGCTTGATGCTAGCTTGATTTCAGTGTCATTTAGTTTCTATATTCCCTTTAGCCTTCTTCCAAGATTATCCAATTTCTTTTTATGCCAATGTTATTCACTGAATCAGCAAATGAATGGATGCTCTAAGATAATCACTCCAGCAGCCCTAAACATGGTAGATCCAAGGGAATACAATAATGGCCATGACCCAGCCCTGAGAAGCTGAGGTCTATGAATGGGTTTAAACACAGAGTACACAATCTGTGTTTATGTATACATTCCTGGGGAGTAAGTCTTCTGGTTTTATCAAAGGAGTTTGTCACCCCCAGTGGAAAAAGACACTAGTCATTAAAACAAACAAACAAGTGAACATTTTAGGATCATGTGATAAATTTTCTACAAACACAGTTCAGGGTTAATAAGAAAGGGAAATAAAGATTCTCAAGTGATCTGGAGTCCAAGAGCTAAGAAGGCTTCCAGAGTTTGGATAGTTGGCAAATATAGGTATAGGAAGTAACATGATTAGAAAAATAGCCCTGGCCAGTTTAACTCAGTGGATAGAGCATCAGCCCATGGATTGAAGGGTCCCAGGTTCGATTCCGGTCAAGGGTATGTACCTTGGTTGAAGACTCGATCCTGGTTGTGGTGTGTGTGGGAATCGCTATGTCTCTTTCACATAGATGTTCTCTCTAAAAATCAATGGGAAAATATCCTTGGGTGAGGATTAAAAAAAGAAAGATAAATAACTTTACTCCAGGGAAATATGGAGGATCAGGAGTACTTTGAATTGACTTGAACTGGACTGAATAGTTCCAGGCCCCTCTGAGTCCTGCAGGTGCTATGGAGTAGGCAGGCCCTGACAGCAGAGATCCTAACAATATCTCCCCTGGCTTTACACACAACCCCAGCTTCTTTCCTGCCAAAGCTCCAGGAGGGCTAGATGGGAATTGGGCCAGGCAGCCTCTGGAGAAGCAGTGCACTCCTTGAGACACATGGGAGCTTGTTGCCTTTGTTCTCTCTACTTCTTCTAGTGTCCAAGCACACATTGTGGCAAAGCTGGCGAGAACAAAACCTACAAAAATCGACATCCTGCCCTCAGCCACTGAGCCCAGAACAGATGCTCCAGGACAAGAATGCTACCTGTGCGAGGGTTTCTGAGGTGCGGTCCATGCTGCAGGAACTTCTGGACTCCACCATGTTCAACCAGGAAGAAGTCAGGGCCATCAGGTACATGTCTGCTGTGGTGGAGAACCTCAACAAGGCCTTGATCCTCCAGCACAATGAGAACAGGAGCCTGCAAACCAAACAGCGGCAACTGAAAATAGATATGACCAAAGAACTCAGTAGCCAGAGGGTGTACTTCCAGCACTCCCTCCAAGCCCTTGAGAAAAAGAGGGATGCCCTAACAAGACAGGTAGAAACCCTAGGGAAAAAGAACCACGACCTTCTCCTGATAAAGCATGCCTTAGAGCTTCAGCTAAAGAAGCCTCAGTCTGCGAGAGGTGAAGCTGACACTCTGGGCCCACTTGAGAAAGAGGCTCTCCCAGAGAAAGAATTGGCCATGGAGGAAGGCCAACAGGAAGCCAAGAAGGAGGAGCAGTTATTTTCACCACTTTCCCCAGATTCCACCATCACTACGCATTCAAGGGTCACAGATGTATACAGCAGCAGAGACCCTGAAAGCCTTCAGCTTGTGTTGCCATCCTCAGTGGATCACAAGTTTCCTAACAAATGGGAAATAATGTTTGCAAAGAGCCCAGGCCATAAAGTCAAAGACCAGAAGGACTTCATCCAGGAAGCAGCCCAGGAGAAAGAAGAACTCCAAATTAAGTCCCAGGTTAGGGAGCAGCTGTCTCCAGAGAGCAAGGGGGAGCACTGGGAAGAGGAACTCAGCTGGGAGAGGCGGAGGCAGCAGTGGCTGGAGCAGGAGGAGCTATGGCTGCAGCGGCAGCAGAAGTGGGCCCTGCTGGAGCAGGAGCATGAGGAGAAGCTGAGGCAGTGGGCGGTGCAGGAAGCGGCGAAGGAACAGCAGGAGAGACTGGTCCAACAGAAAAAGGAGGGAGGGGGCTCTCGGAGAGAGCTGGAGCAGCCAGGCAAGGACGAGGAGATGATCTTCGTGACCACCAATCGATGGAGAGACTTGGAAAAGGCATCACCATCCCCTCCCCCAAGCCGAACCCAATCTGCTGGCCAACGTAGGAGGCCACACTTGCCCAGGACCCCTAATACCCAGAAGTCTGCACTAGGAAATCAAAGGATCAAGAGTTCACCCGAGTTTACTCTGAAACCATGGACCCAACGGGTTCCCACGAAGACTAAGAAATCAGCTTCTGTTCCTAGCACAGGGGCATCCGTCCGAAAGGTGACCCAGTCCTCTTTGCATATATCCTCCGTAACTCTAAACAGGAAGGAATACCACATGGATATGGAGGCCCAGAGGGAAAACCTGCAGCTCCTGCGGGAGATTGCTAAGCAGGGGCTGCCCAACTACCTGCACAGCAAGGCCCTGAATCTTACCACTACCAGCATGGAACTGACCAAACTTAGGCTGCAGAGCCTGTGCCATAAATACATCATCTACAGATGCTTCCAGAGCCTCCGGTAGGTTCTCCCTGGCTCCTACCCAGCTCCTACCCCCACCCACTGTGGTGTGTGGGCACAACTAAAATCCAGGGGTAAGGAGGAACATGGGGACAGGTGGGAAAACCCAGGCCTGGAAAAAGTCCCCCTGAAGCCTTGAGCAGCCCTGAAGGAGTGGGAGGTAAGGTACTTAACACATCATTCTCTCTCTAGTGGGCTTTTCCCTCTAAGCCCGCTTCCTTATTTCTTTCTCTCTTCCTACCCCACACTGCTATCCACAACACACTTAATATGCTTCCTCATTTGCTTTACTTTCTTCTTATTTCCAGCCTAGCCCCAAGGCCCCTCACCTGACAACGCCTCCCACTTCTCTACTCCCTGCCTTCCCAACTTCTGCTTCTCTTCTTGCTCCGGGGAGTTACAAATGTGGAGTCATCTCTGATGGACAGAATTAGGGGGAAAGTAGGCCCCTTAACCCACTAAATGATTTCCCTTTCTCTCCAGACAAGAAGTGATCAACCACATCCAAACCATGCGGGAAACCAAGGCTACCTACAAGGCCCAGAGTCTCTACGTCTTCCTGGAGAACATCGACCACCTGCAGGACCTGCGCCTGAAGGCCTGGACGGACAAGCAGAAGGACCTGGAGGACAAGCGTCGAGACTGCCTGAGCAGCATGGCAACCATGTTCCCCAAGGTGGGTCTCCTGCCTGGGGTCAGCACAGACAGTGGGGATGGGGCCAGGAAATGAGCCAGTAGGAATGTGGGGGTGACTGGAGGCAAGAAGGGCAAATGATAAATACGAGAAGAGGTTAAAGTCTCTGAACCAGGAAGAGGTGCCGTGAGTGTAAGGAAGGGCACATTCCAATCTCCATATATGGGGAGGGCCACAGAATGGGACTTACAAAGACAACTATAGAAAAAGACTCTTCTGGAGGGGGGAGGTAGCTGGACCCGAAGTCCCAACTCTGCACCGAGTTTCTCCCTCCCTGTGGGTCTCTCTGCCCTGATCCTTTAAGTTCTCCAGACCTGGTCACAGCGGTCTTCCCCATCACTGAGTCCCGGGTTGTCTGAAAACATCTTTACTTAATACCTACCCTCATTCTTTAAAAAACATACATTTTTATTTATTTCAGAGAGGAAGAGGGAGAGACAGAAACATCAATGATGAGAGAGAATCATTGATTGGCTGCCTCCTACATGCCCCACTCTAGGGATGGAACCTGCAACCTGAGCATATGCCCTGACCGGGAATGAAACCATGACTTCCTGGTTCATAGGTCAATGCTCAACTACTGAGCCACACTAGCCAGGCTCTACCCTCATTCTGAATTGAGTTTGCCTTAATATGGAAGGCTAGGTTAGAATTCATTTTCCCTCATGATTTTGAAGACACTGCTTATTGCCTTTTAGGTTTTGGCGTTGCTATTGAGAGCCCCGTTATTTTGAGTCACAATCCGTTGGGTTTGACCCACCTTTACTCTCTGAAGGCTCACTTGAGCTTCTTTTACTCCTTTCCTCTTACTGGGGCAGCTGACATGGTCCCCAAGGGGCTAGACCAGGGGTTGGAGGGACTGAGGAATCCCATAGCAGTGACTCAAAACCTGCTGGGATCTCCCCTAGGGTTGGGCCAGGAGGTAAGCCCCTGAGTCTGGAACAGCAGTGGACTCAGTCTGGGAGAGACAGAGTGCTGAGGGACTCTGTGTAAGTACCAGCACCAGGCAGCTGGAAGAGCTTTGGGTTATCTCCCAATTCTGTTTCCTATCATCTTATACCAGTCCCAATCATTTCCTGTAAGGGTCTTAACTGGCTAAATTGGTTTTAAAGTCGAGAGGAAAGGGACCATCTGACTTCTTTTGGTGATTGTGAGGAATCCCCCAGCTCCTTGCCCAGTGCCTGGGTGGGGCTGGATGAAAAGATCCCTGGAGCATCCAGGCACAACTGGTCCCATGTCACTAACGCTGCAAGTGCCTCAGGAGTTCCAGCCACTCTGGCTTCCTTTGCTGTTGTTTTGTGTGTGTTTTTTCTCACTGTTTTACCCATTGTCCAGTTTCTCCACAGCAAAGGAGATAACAGGAACTAATCTAGCAAATAAGAATTCAAGTAATTTCTAGGAAAATGGATACATTGGGGTTCCAGGGGCTTCTCTCTGCTCAGCCCTGAGTTAGGGGATGCCACGCCTGTCTTAGAGAGGGGACGAATTCCTGTCTCCTGATGCCTCTCTGCTGGTTCCTCTAGATCAAGCAGGAGTGGAACATTCATCTGCACACCCCTGTGGTCACCTCCCCAAAGTCAAGGAAAAGCAAGCCACCCCCCTCCTTACTCCGGCGTGTCCACTCTAGCAGCCCCCCCAGGAAGCAGCCCCCAGAGCATCTTCCATCCAAGCACCAGAAACGGGTGCCTCTGCAGACGGCCCGGTAGGTGCAGGGAAGCCAAGGGCACAGCCAGCTGGATGGGTGGGGAGGCAGGGAGCAGGCGTGGCCAGACTGGGGAGGCTGGCAGCTCCTCTAGAGAGCACAGACAGGCAAAGCTCACCCCATGAGTTGCAAGGCACCTGTCTTCTCAGTTGCCCTGCTCAGCTCAGGCTTTTGGCTCAGACAGGGGAGGGGGGAGATGGGGAGTGGAGTGTGGGTTTCAGGGGCCAGCCTAATCAAATATGATTCAAACTATGCAACAGAAGGATTCCGAGGACCCACAGCTGAGAACTTACAACCATTTCTACCCTGAGCATTGGCCCAGCACCTGCCATTGGTTTATCCATATAAACAAGCCTGATCATTCCCACCTTGTGACACCCCACCCCGCCCATCTCCCCCAGCCCCTGAGCTCAAAAAGAGATGCTGTGAGTCTGGGAAGCCAACGAAACCCACATCTACACCCACCATAGTGTGGCCAGGGCAAGGCTTTAGCTCCAGGACATGTGTCTGGAGCAGGGATGGGGCTCTTCCAGCCACTCCTCAGCCAAAGAAGCCCCAGGGAACTGAGACTTAGGCTTGCGGGGAAGAGAGGTAATGAGGAGGGCAGTGTCAACTATTGGGGAAAGGAAGAAGTGTCTTGAGCCTGTGGCCCTGGAGAGCTTGTTGCTTTTCAATCTTTCTGTATGTCTAGCGCTTTGTCTCTTTTTTACACTTTCCACCCCAGCCCACGGAGGAACCAGATGGAGACTGTTTGGAAGACTGATGTGGCCTCCTCCAGCCACCCAATAGAGAGGTGCCCAGATGTTCCCCGGCTATTGGCATTGGATGTGCATTCCTCCTTCCATAAAAGCTTGACGTCCCTCAAGGCCCGGTACGGGGCAAGGCTGGGTGGTTAATCTGGATTCAGGAAGATTTGTACATCAAGGGTGGGGGCAAGAGTACATACCATCTCTGTCCATTGTCCCAAGATGTTTCTTTCCAAACATTAATCATGACCTAATTTATTATATTTATCATGTCACATCAGACAGAGCTATGCTTGCCTGCCTCATCAGCCATCGGCTTGGGTCCCCACACCAACACCAATCTAGTTTTTTCAAGGGACTTTCCATGGAGTCTCAAAAAATCACCACAGAAATCTTTCCTTCTACTTGTTTCCTGGGCTGCCCACAAATTGTTTAAGTAACGTATCTCACCCTAGGACTGAAGGCTGTTTTCAGAGAGTCAGGTGCAGAATGGATAGATGAGGGAGACGAAGAATGACATGATAAACCTGAGACTTGGGCCTGGGCCTGTCTTTGGCATTGTCATTTCTGGAAGGCCTTCAAGAACTGTTCCTGGAAAGAGCAGCTGAGGGGAGGGAGGCAGGACTTAGTAGGCCTACAATCAGCTTTTCTGATTAGGAAGGACCAACTCTCCTTTGCCTCTCATGGCTTGAAGATGTCACTATTGAAGCAGCCTTTCTCTCTCTCTTTTTTTAATTGATTGATTGATTTTAGAGAGAGGAAGGAAGACCGGGAGAGAGAGAGATCAATTTATTGTTCCATTTATTTATGCATTCATTAGTTGAATCTTATGTGCTCTGACCAGGGATGGAACCCACAACCTTGGCAAATAGGGATGGCACTCTAACCAACTGAGCTACCTGGCCAGGGCTCAACTAGCCTTTCTAGATGACCAATCCCACCCCCAATAAATAAATAAATAAATAAATAAATAAATAAATAAATAAATAAATTAAATTAATTTTAAAAAATAGATGACCAATCCTAGCTGCTTCCTGTGGCTCTGGCCCCGCCCCAATTAAAGATCTTTGACAGGGCCCTGGCCAGGTGTCTCAGTTGGTTGGAACATCATCCCCCAACCAGAAAAGGTTGTGGGTTTGATCCTGGGCAGGGTGTATACGGGAGGCAACCAATCGATGTTTCTCTTTCACAGTGATGTTTCTCTCTCTCTTCTCTCCCTTCCTCTCTTTCTAAAAATCAATAAACATATCCCCGAGTGAAGATTAAAAAAGCAAACACAAAATAAAAGATCTTTGACAGGGATAGGGCACTGATGTCTGCCCGTCTAGACATAACCAGATAAAAGCTGTAACATGCTGGTGCTGCTGCCATCTTCCAGATGGGACTTAGGTAAGACAGGGTAGCATGGTAGCATCAAAGAAGGCTAATCCTTAGCTAGGCTTCCACTCTGAAGTGGGCTTGAGAGTCTCAACTGGACATTAGCATTATAACCCACCTAGTACATGGATATAATTTCTGGAGAGTTTCCAAGGTGTGTGTGTGTGTGTGTGTGTGTGTGTGTGTGTGTGTGTGTGTTATTGTTATTGTGAGTTAATTTGGCTGTAGCACACACAATTGAGAACAACGAAAACAACACTGTGGCAGAACGAAGTATCCCGTAAGTCAAATGAGGCCCCGCCCCCTGAGATTTGGCTGAATTTGCCCAAGGTGGCCCCATGGTGGTGTCTCTCCTGAGTTCCTTCTCTTTTCCCTCTACATCCCTGCCAGTGTCTGGGCTCTACATGGCATCTGTTTGAATCAGAGGCTCCCAACCCCTTTGTTGTTGCCACACATAAATGTAAGGTGTCACACACAAAAAGGTATACACACTTTAACAGCTGATAGCTCAATTTTGAAAATGAAATGTTGTTTAATAAACACTGCCTTTATAAATTACTCAACGTGTGTATATATTTTTGGCATGCCCTATTTGTGCCCATAAATATCAAAAGTGCATACTCTATTTGACCTCAGCGTTTAATGATGTTAGTAACTTTGGGGAAAATTCAGAGAGTGATGTGGAAAGGATTTCACAGTGAACAACACCAAACAGCAGCTTCTTTTCTCCCCCTCTCTCTTTGGTATAATCTGCAGAATTCAAAAACTCGTCGCTGTCTCATGCAAAGCTGTTCCCACCTACACCCAGGCCTCCCCTGGGATCTCAGTTTCAGGCTTTAGCACTTATCAAAATATTGTTCCCAGCAAAGACAGCTTCCCCTTTCTAGGGGAATTTAGGTGAATACAATTTTCTTCCCCCTTTCCCAAGTCTATACAAGTTTATTCACTTTATCTCACTACCAGGCAGAGGCAACGCCCTGCTTTTTTGGTCTTTTCATCCACATCCCAGGTTGGCACCACCTACCTGAGTGTCAGGCTGCTCCTCAGCCTTTCAGTGTGGGGCTCCCTCCATTGTCATGGGACCTGTTATTGCACTATGAGGACCTGCCACTCTTCAACAAAAGTTCTATGCTGCTGCCCAGGCTACTGCTGCCTCAGGGAGTGGAGGGAGAGGTCATGCTGCTTTGTGAATACGCTGTGTGTGATCCTCTGGGGACACACACTGCTTCCACTCCCAAAAGTGTACCTGCTCTTTGGCCATGTGCTCCTGGCCCACCATGAATCCTCACTCAAGTCTGCTTGCTGTGGTTCCAGGTCATTCATGTCTTGGTGGTCCTACTGACCTCACCAGCTCCCCTGGCTGTGCTGTTGGGTCCACAGCACTGTCTAGTTTCAGAACTAGGACCACTGACCTCATGCTGACTGCCCCATTTTCCTAATCTGCCTGGCATAGACAGCCTGCCTCATCTCAGGACCTTTAAGATGCCCTCTCAGCCTGTGGGGAAGGGCTCTTCATCTTCCCTCTGTGATTTGGGACATTAGGAAGACATGTCCCTCAAAAAACACTAGACCCCCTTCTTCAAAATCATTTCCTGCTTTGCTTCACAAGCATCTCCTCTGGGCTCTCTGACAGGTAAGATAGTAACATGTCCATACACACCACATGCTGCCTGCAGATGGAGAAGAACCTTAACCTTCGCTCTCACTGCCTTCCCTTGCTCAGGGCCCATTCCTGCACAGCTAAAGTTCACAGTGTTCACATGTGTGCATCCAGATGCAGCAAGTGCAAACTCACACAGATGAACAGCATGCTGCAGAGAGAGGGCTGATAACTTGGTTCCTGGGAAGGAGATTAGGTGGCGATGGAGATGAGTAGGAAGAAGCAGGGAAGTCTAAGGGGAGGGAAGTGAGACAAGAGGCAGACTCACAAGAAGAGAAGCAGAGCCCTGGAATGTGTCAGAAATGGGTGTTAAGCAGTTTCATGTGCAGGTCACGTCTGGGCCCAGCTCTGCACTGGTCTCCCAGAGAAGACCTGGGAAGCTCTTGGGCCTTGTCTGCTGCTCCCTAACCTGTAACTGTATTAACTCTTTCAGTGTCTCAGCAACCCAAATAAAGGAACACCAGGAGCCCTCAAATGTGTCTGCTGAACTTGATCATAAAAAGTCAAGTGAGTCGCTCCCTGGAGCCCTGAGAAGCCAGAAGGATAGAGACAATCACAGTCCCCAATCCGTCCCTTAGCCAGTGATCCTCAAACTTTAGGATGACTAAAATCACATGGCAACTTGTCCCAAATTCTGTCCCCAGCTGGTATTTTTTTCAATAAACACCTGGGATGTTGCTAAGTAGTCGTAGAACTTTGAGAAATTCTACTTTCCTCCTCCACTCCCCGAACTGTATATTTTAATAAAATAGAGGTATGTTTATTTTTTAATTTTTCTGTCTCATTGCTGAAACCTACATCTTCCCAATTAATTTTAGAAACCAGGTCCATGACCACCTGGCCACTGACCTGAACACCAATCAGAGAAGATTCCCCAAGTGTTGTCTCTGTCTTTCTGGAAGCAGGAGGCCGAGACGGCCATGATTAGTGCCTGGTACGCAGTAGGGGTGAGGAATCTTGAATTAACCAATGACATGACAAATAAACAACTGAAATAGTGATGATTAGCATGAAAACATAGAGGATAAAAACAAAAGGAAATACCACATGCAAGTCAGAGCCAAGTGTCACTGTGTGGGAGGCAAAGGTAAGTCTCAAGACTGATGGCAAAAGTGGCAGAAATGGAGATAGGGAGGTGCCAAATATAGATGGTGTGGGCTAAGGAGGCCATCTCTGACAATTGTCTATCAGTTCAGTTAAGACACTCCTTTCCTTAGTTCATTCAGCTAAAGAGCACTGTCTCACCCTCCCTGTTCCTAGCACATAGCCATCTGTCTCATCTCTCACTGGGCCTCTACTCTCCCCCTCCTTCTCAACTCACCCAGCCAGACCCAGTCCAGGGACCAGACATAATAAAACCTTTACTGGGAAATGACTTAAACCTTAGAGAACCTGTAATCCAGTGATTCTGAGTCAACTGAAACGCATTATTTGTAGCTACTGAGACAATTTAGGGTACTTGTGCTGTCCTGGTTCTCAGGTACAGAAGAATGTGCTTCGATAACCAATAAAATCACAATCAATGGGATATTCAAACCACCAACCATGGAGTATTCAATCAATTGGGATAGCATACATAAGTTCAGAAAATCAAAATAATTTTTCTATTGTCTTAGTAAGCAAATAAGTACAGAACCCAAAACAGCAGGGTTAAAGTTAAAACTGCAGTTTCTACCTGAGACGATTGCTACCATACTTCACATGCACAGATATAAAATCTAACATGTTTTATAAATGTAATGAGAATATTTGAATATTAAATTTGACAGTGTAATAAACTGGCAATTCTATATTTTATAAACACTTAATTATATATACATAAAATATTTTTTGTATTTTGAAACCAGTAATTTAAAAAAACAACAACACAGTTACATTTTCACATGTTTCATATGCTCCTGGAACTGTGCTTAAGTAGCCTAGTGGCTAAACTTGCTCTGGTGATGATGGACTTTGACTTTCTGCATGTCCTCTAGCAAGCTCTCTGTCAAACAGGCACAGTATCTAATAGGTTTTTCTCCTCATTTGCCAACGATTCATCTTAAAGGCAAAGAAGGCCTGGATGGGTTAAGCTGTGAAGCCAAGAGGGTTGAAAACCAAGGAGATATATATATATATATATATATATATATATATATATATATATATATATATAGTGCTTTTCTAGCAATGAGGTTCTTGATTTTATATATGTGCCTCATTTTTTTTTCAGAGCAAAGTTTATATATTTAGTATGCCTCCACCCTTAAAAAAGCACAGGAAACCCAAGGCATAGAAAGGAGTATTTTTTTGGCTTCAAGCCAGATTTGGGGTTGGCCATAGTTCTGCTTGACTTGGAAACTCCAAGATGAGAAACTAACATTAATGTGGAAGGGTACATGAGGGACAGGTCTACTTTAACCCTTGCTGTGATCTTCAAAGGAGGTCTGGGTAAAGTGGAAGGAACCAAAACCTTTAGTAAACAATCCAGCCAAAGAGACGGGGGGAGGAAAGCCGTGTGAAATCTGGTATGTCCCCTGTACTAGGGAGGCCAACTTGGAAAAAATTAGATAAAGGATGAGCATGACTTCATGAATGGAGGAGTCGTCTCAAAAAGAGAATAAGAGCATGGCTTAGATATAATTATCAATTGGGGACTTTGAAATAGCTATATTTAATATATTAAAGGATCTAGACTAGTGGAAAAGATGGACAAGATGTTTGAACAGGGAATAGGAAACTATAGAAATGAAATGGAAAAATAGAGAGCTAGAAGTGAAAATCTTAATATAGAGATGAATTCCTTGAACAGTTTTATCAGCAAACTGGACAAAAGCAGAGAAAAAAATTCATGACTTTAAGTTAGATCAATAGAAATTAAACTATAACACAAAGAGTAAGCAAACAATCAGGCAAATCCAAAACTAAGCAAAATGTATCTGACAATGATAAATGATCTAACACGTGTGTAATTGAAGTCCCAGAAGGAGAAGGGAGAGAAAATGGAGCAGAAGAAATATCTAGAGATAATCACTGAGAATTTCCCAAATTAATGAAAGAAAACAAACCACCGATCCATGAAGCTCAGAGAACACCGAACAGGATAAACACACACACACACACACACACACACACACACACAAAACACACCTAAGCATATCATAACCAAAGTACTAAAATCAAAGATTAAAAAATTCCTTGAAAGTAGCCAGAAAGAAAAGAATATTACATAGAAACAATTAACAAAACAGTCTCTTAATTGAAAACTGCCAGCCAGATGGTTACTGAGGCCCATCTGTATCCCTGCCTTACAAGTGCTCAATATAAGCCAGGAGCATTCCAGGACACTCTCCTGTTTGGGACTGATACTAGCTTTTCTATTAGCTGCAAAAACAACTGCCTAGAACTGAGCAGTTTCTTACAGGACATAACTTTCCAGTTCCCCACAGTGTCTAGCCCTCTTCTTGTGTTATATCTAACTCCTCATCACTTTATACATACCTAACCCTGAGCTGGTTGGTGACTACAACATCCTCAAAGACTATTTACTGGCTATGAGTAGATGGAGGCTGAATATACTAGTCAACTGGCCTAAATGCCCTATGATCTGTTGCCCCAAATTTTCCCCCCACAGGTCACCAGCTGGAACCACCAAAGCCTGAGTCCAGCAGGCAAACTTATCAGGGTTCGGTTGAAAGATGGTAATTGTTTTTTTTTTTTTTTTTTTTTTTTTCATGTCACCAGTTTTTAATGTTTTTTTTTTCCTTTAAATATACTCCAGAGAATCATGCAATGCTGCCAGCATTGGATGCAATCCTGGGCCACAAATCTGCACACTCCTTTGCAACAGGTCCTGTGATGGCAGAACCTTTCATTTCCCCTTTATTATTTACTATGACCCCCGCATTATCCTCAAAATAAAGAAACACGCCATCTTTTCTCCGGTATGACTTCCGTTGTCTAATTACCACCGCTGGATGTACCTTCTTTTGAAACTCTGGTTTGCCTTTTTTTACTGTGGCCATCACCATGTCGCCCACACCGGCAGCAGGAAGCCTGTTCAGTCGTCCCTTGATCCCCTTCACAGAGATAATGTACAGATTTTTGGCTCCTGTGTTGTCGGCACAGTTGATCACGGCTCTCACCGGAAGACCCAGGGAAATCCGGAATTTGGCCCCGGAGGACCCACCACGTCCTCTCTTCGACATCTTGGACGCCGGAAAGGGATGGAAAGCGAGAGATGGTAATTGTTATTGGTTGCAATGCTTGTGAGGGAGAGCAGCTGTCAATAATTCAGAAACGCCATGGTGTCAAGTTGATTCAAATTTCCTCTCCCACACCCCTATTCTAAGGGTCCTTATGTAGGTCTCTCGTCGCCTCAGACTTTCTGGGGGGAGTTCCTTTATTGCGGGAGCCACAAGGGGGCAGCAAAGTGTTTGACTCAGGGCCTGAGATGGCCTGGATGAGGAGGGGGCTGAATTAAAAGTATGGGAATTGCTGAGAGATGGACACAACTGATGCTGGGGGGAGTTCATCTGAGAAGGTGCTTGACTGAGCATGACAAGCATGTATGACAACTGGAGGGGAAAGAAACAGGGATTCCTGACCCATCCTTTGGACATCTGGATCCTGCAGACAGGTTTTTTTTTGTTTAATTTCAGAGAAGAAAGTAGAGGAAGAGAGAGAGATAGAAACATCAATTATGAGAGAGAATCATTCATCAGCTGTCTCCTGCATGCCCCCCACTGGGGATCAAGCCCACAACCTGAGCATGTGCCCTTGACTGGAATCAAATCTGGGACCCTTCAGTCCGCAGGCCGACGCTCTATCCACTGAGGGCCTACAGACAGTTCTTAGTGGCTGGAGTCTTCCCTCTCTCAGCTTAAGGCCGCTTCCTCCTCACTTGACCACCCACTCTCAGCAGGATCCTCAGCTCTACAGCTCAGAGAGAAGTCCTTACAAATGATTCTTCAGGCAACTGTTTTTTAGGACTTTCTCAAGCATGTATAATGTCCTCACTCATTTGTTCATTCATTCATTCATTCATTCATTCATTCAACAATTATCTATTGGGCACCTAATACTAGCCACTGTTCTAGATGTTAGGAATACAGATTTGATGAAAATATTTGTTTTTTAAGTGTTTTTATGGAAGTTATATTTTATTGGGGAGAAACAGACAATAAACAAACAACTCCCCACCTCCCTCCCCACACATACACACAGTACAATACACAGTATGTCAGATGGTAAAAGATGCCATGGAGAGGTAAGGTACCAGAATGTGGGGTTACAATTAAATCAGGCTTTAGTGAGGTGACATCTGAATGAACACTTGAAGGAGGCGAGGAAACAAACTGTGGGGAAGAGCATTCTAGGCAGAGAATGGCCTGAGGTGGGGCATGCCTGCACATTCAAGGAATAGCAAAGTCTCAGTGTGGCTATTGTGAGGTGAGGGAGAAGCAGAAGAGAAGGAATGATGCAGAAGTGACTGGGGACAGATCATACAAGGCCTTATTGACCCTGTAAAAACTTCTTCCCTCCACCTTGAATGAACAAGAGCCATTTTTGCTCTGAATGAAATGGGAGCCATGCAGAATTTTGAGCAGAGATGTGACATACTCTGACCTACACATCACTATAGTGATGAAAACAGACTGAAAGCTGGAAGAAGGAAGCAGAAGACAGTTGGAAGCTATTACAATTCCCTCCCATTCAGCAGAGCTTCGTAAAGAAGCTCAAATGCTACCTCCCCCTCCCATGAAGCCTCTCCTAATCCCCCCTAAGACCCCGATTCTCCTGGCTGCTCTCCTCATCCTTTGTTCATGCCTTTCTTCTAGCACCGGCCAATCCTGCCTTTGTTCTGGGATAACTGATGGCCTGTCCTCAGCCCCACCAGACTGCAAACTCTTTAAGAGCAGAGGCCTAGTTATTTTCCAATTATTTGCCCAGCTGTAGCTGCCCCAGCACAGAGGGCTGTGCACAAAGTAGAAACCAAGTCAGACGTTCCCTAAGGAATAAGGGATCCCATCCCTCCTTAGCTGATTTGATTTGCTCTTGCCTTTGAGGTTTCTTCTGGGCTGTGTTTCTGCCTGGAGAGCCACATCTCTTCGAGTTAAACACTCACCCACCATGACAGCCCTAACTCATTCTGTTAGCCACACTTCACAGTCCCTCGGAAGATCCATGTTTACACAACCTAGCTTGTCATTGGCCTACAGAGGCAGCCTGTCAGAGCTAGCAGGAAGCACATACAAAACGCTGTTTGCCAAAGCTATTGGCCTCTCTAGAGGCTTCTGAGAGCAACTTAAATGAGTAATTATTAAGTACTTACACGTTTATTGAGCACCTACTGTGCTGCTATGCTCTGTACTAGGCAATGAGGGTATAAAAGTTAATAAAACAAACTTCCAAGGAGCTTACTAGTATTGCCAACACAGGATACAGAACCATATGCAAAGCATATTGGGACATTAGTATTCCCAGAACTTATCACTCATTTAGCACTTTACTAAGTATTGTATGTATAAAGTTGACATTGAGATACAATCCCTTTTCACACTCCGGTGTGGAGATAGGCAGTAAATAGTGAGAAGCTGGCATATGTAACAAACAGTCCAGGGCCAGTGATGTCATAGAGGTGCAAAGTAAAATGGAGAACGGGGAAGATGTTTGTGGCAGTGTGGGTCTGGTAAAACCTTCAAGGCTAAGTGGGATTTCAAATGTTGAATGTTGAAGAACTACCACAGATGTCAGGGAAAGAGAGTCTGGGGGAATGAAAGGGCATAGAGCACTTCAAACACAGATCATGTTTGGAGACCAGAAAGTGGTCAGCGTAGCTGTAGTTCAATGGGTAAAAGCCAGGTGTTGCAGGAGCTAAACTGGGCTGAGATCATCGGGTTTGGATGAGCTTGAAGGCCAAGCTGAGGATTTTCCTCTGGAGGCAGTGGAAAGCCGCTGATGATTTTTAAGGAAGGAGTGGTAGTACCAGATCTGTGCTTTAGAGGCAGCTTTGGCAGTGTGGAGATGCTAGAGACCAGTTAGAGGAGCAATAATGAAGGTGTGTACTAAAGTAGTGTAAAGAGCCAGCTATGATATAATGGGATTCGTGCCCTTATTTATTCACAGACATCTATTATGTGCAAAACTTTGTGCTGATTGAAGGTAGGGATGGAACAGATGACAAAGAAAAATAAAACCCAGCTTATGTCCACAAGGATTTTATAATCAAGTGAGAGACACAGACCACTAAAAGGCTACCATAGCCGAAACCGGTTTTGCTCAGTGGATAGAGCATCGGCCTGCGGACTGAAAAGTCCCAGGTTTGATTCCAGTCAAGGGCATGTACCTTGGTTGTGGGCATATCCTCAGCAGGGGTTGTGCAAGAGGCAGCTGGTCGATGATTCTCTCTCATCGATGTTTCTAACTCTCTATCCCTCTCTCTTCTGCTCTGTAAAAAATCAATAAAATATATTTTTAAAAATAAAAATAAAATGCTACCACATTATTCCCTTGACTTCTGTGATAGTTGGCTTCCCTTCTATGTCCCCTATGTACTGCTCTGCCTGTGTAGTCTAGGGGTTGCTCTAGTGCCTGGATTCTCTATTCCTGCCATAGACTATCCTAAGGTGACTTATCTCCTTACTGCTTGAACATCAGCTATATGGTGATTCCCTAATTCCAATCTCTCCCTCAAGTCACTGCCTTGTATATTCAAACACCCAACTGATATCTCAACCTGTTGCCCACTGGCACCTCCAACTCAATTCATCCAAATAAGACCCATCTTACTTTCTCACCCAAAACTGGCCTCTTCACTTGTGCTTTCTATCTCAATGCACTAACCATCACCCTACTTCTACTGCCAAAGCTGGAAAGCAGGGTATCATCAGTGCCTCATTTCTTACATCCCTACATCTAATCTATCACCAAGCCCTACCCAGTTTATATTTTACTAGAGGCCTGATGCACGAAGATTCGTGCAAGAATAGGCCTTCCTTCCCCTGGCTGCCGGCACTGCCTTCGCTCCAGCCTGAAGCTGCCTTTCTGCTTTTGCCCTGGCCCAGAGCCGCCTTTGACCTCTCGCTTTGTGGAATCCAATTTGCATATTCCCTCCTTATTGGCTGTGGGTGCCTCCATCCTTGTCAAGGAGTTACAATTTGCATATTCTGTCTTATAGATAATATGTGTCTTCTCCTTGTTGGCTACCCTGACTGATCATCCTGCCTCTAGTTTTATTCTTTCAATCCTCCATACATTCCAACGAGATCTTTCTAAAATCCTGATCTCATAACACACCCTGATTAAAATCTCTTTAATCATGAGTTTAATCATGGACTATTAAGATTTTTGTGATAGTTCTTTTGGCATGGCTGTATATTCCATTGTATGGAGAGACTGTAATTTATTTAACTAGTCTTCTAGTAATAGATATTTAAATTGTTTGTAAACTTTTGCTTCTAAAGTTGTTGACTTTCTGTATAGTTTATTATGCATGGGTACAAGTATATTGGATCAGAAATTACATGCATTTGTAATTTTGACAGGCATTGACAGTTCTATCGGTAATATCTAAGAGGGTCTATATCCCCTTCTTAGACAACCATGCAGGAGTCTATTGTCAAACATTTGGAATTTTTGCCCATCTATAGGTGAAAAATGTTATCTAAATGTAGTTTTAACTTTCTTGTGAGTTTGAATATTTAAGAGCCATTTGTCTTTCCTTTTGTTAACCATCCCATTTTCTTATTGGATTTTTGTTCTTTTTCATATTAATTTGAAGGGATTTTGTATATATGAAGCAAATTAGTACCTTTGTCTATGATATGAATTGCAAATATTTCCCCCAGTTTGCCATTTGTCTTTGCTTATGGTGTTTTTTGCTCTACAGAAATTAGATTTTTATGTTGACAGAACATCTTTCTTTAGGCTTTGGGAAATTTTATGCTATCCTGAAAATTACTATTCCCCCTACAACATTATAAATTTGTTTTTACTCTTATATTTATTTAAACACAATTGATTTATATGAACTTACATAAGGGCCACTCTTTTTTTCCAGGTGGCTACACAGCTGTCTCAATATCATTTGCTGTATAATTTATCCATTCTGGTAGACAATGCCATCTTTATCATATACTAACATTTTAAATGTCTTAGGTCTATTTCTGGATTCTTTTGTTCTTTTGACAAAGGTGCCTATGCATGC